GGAAAGACAGCAAGAAGACAAACACTGCAGCGGTGATAAACCTCACCTGCTTCTTCAGCTGGAAAGAGAATTAGGTAGGCGTGATCCAGTGGTGACAGACACTGCGGGGGTAGTAGCAAGATGATGACTTAAGGATGGGATTTTTGAAAGCACTTTTCCCGAGGAAGTCAGGAGGAGTAAATCAATGCCCACATTCTTTACATCCCTTCCCAAATTGACAAGCACTTTGCGGGGTGGGGGAGGGAAGTGACCCTCCATCAGGAAGGTCAGAGCCTGTCTGCTCCCTCCAACCTGGCTTCAGGCAGGGGAAAGTCTGTGATCAGTGCCTTTGCTAAAATGTGTCCTTTCACCCAAGAAACATCTGCAGCTCAGCAGAAATAAAAGGAAACCAATTACGTTGATCTGGGGAAGACTTGTCCCTCTGTCTAGCTAAGCTCAGCAATGGCATGTGGCCTGGGGAAGCTGTATTTGAAAAATCAGTTAACAAACAAAAAGTTGAAAGAACAACAACAAAAGCAGCCAAATAAGCCCCAAACCCTGGCACAGCAAGGGTTGTCGCCACCCATAGCCAGTTTTCTGAAGAGTTATTTTCTGAGGAAATCAATACAGGGAAACCTACCCCAAAAAAAGCCCTGAAGGCTGCCTGCCCTGGGCAGTACGCACCTCTGGGCAGGCTGCTGGGCTGAGGGAGCAGGCCAATTTGCAGGTGAGGAAATGAGTGCGGAGGGAAGGAACCAGGAGCAAATCAGCCTGGGTCAGTTGAGATGCTGATTTGCACCAGCTGCAGCTCAGCCTGCGCGTTTCAGCTCTCACTGCTGTTGCTGATCCCTTACCCTGCCTGTGAGCTACTTTATATTAACCCAGTTAGGTTTCACCGTGCCTCGGAGGAATTCTTCCTTGGCTGACCAGATTAGTAATGAGCAGAGCTGCTGCCAAGGGAAATGTAATTAAACTCTATTTTCAAACGGCAGGTACCATTTGCAGGGAGCACAGCCGGCCTTATGAATGTTGCTGTGCGGAGCCACGCCAGAGACTGGTCTGCCTTTGAGAATAGGTGGCACTCGTGACTGAGCAATAGCAACGTGTAACTACTGTATATATTACCACCTGTAGCACTGAGAGACCATTCCCCACTGCCTAACCCATCACATTTTCTATTTGCCTGTTCTTTTTATACCACTTACCTTAGCACACTGCCAGCACAAACCCATCGAAATCACATTTACTTTTCCAAGTAATTTCTGAGCTTGTCTTTCTTGTTCTATTGTGTTCCAATTCAATAAAATACATTTATATATATATACATATATAAAACCATATATACATACACATGTATTTTCAGTGGGAAAAAAAACATATACAAGTTTAGGATTCTTAAAGGAATACAATGTATATTGCAACTAATAATAAAGTTATGTTTTCTGAACGGAGCGTGTTTGAGGGCATCATTGGTGACTGCCATCCCTCCAAAGGGAAAGACAGAGGGATATTAAATTACCCTTCATCTTGTGGAGGAGGGGGCTGCAGCCCCCAGGCACTGCCGAATTGCCAGCACCTGCTCCCCAGCCACTGTGGATGGGGGGTCTGGGGCAGCCCAGTCTCATAGAGGCCTGAGGTTCCCTTCCTGCTTCAAGGTCAGCTTTTCGAAGAGCCCTGAAATCCACAGCCTCATGCCATTATTTGCTATAGCCCAGGGCAGCACAATAAAAAATTATCTTGGAGCACTGCAGGTGTAAGATGTCTTTACATCTTTCTTTGACCTAGCAGGGCTCTCCGTCTGGGTAATCCCAAGGGAAGCTAGCTCTGCCCTCCCCAGAGTCAAAGGTGGTGGGGTTTTTTTGTTTGTTTTTTGGGGGTTTTTTTTGGTTTTTTAATTGTAGCAGAGGTGCTAGCTTCCCTGGCCCAAGTGCTTCCCCCACCCCAGACAAAACAGCAGTCTGGAGCTGGTGGAGGAGCCTGGAGTAACAGGCGAGCTCAGCCTGCTTTGAGACCTGGTTCCCATGCTTTTACAAGCCTGTTAAAATATTATGTTGGTCCTGAACCATACCCAGTTCAAACAGGAAGCATCTGCACCGTGGCCAGGACCAGCAGCCATTTAAATCCTAGCTTTTGCCCCCAGCTGCAACTACAGAGAGGGCTGGAGAGTGGGGTTTGTGGTGCTCTCAGCTCCCAGGCAGTGCCCAGGTGCTGACAGAGCCCCTGGTTTGTCCAGACCCAGGGCTGGTGCTGTCAGGGTGGCCCGTGCTGCAGAAATGTCCCTCCTGCCCAGAGAGCTGGGCTGGGGCACAGCCCAGCTGCAGGGTCCGCTCCTGCCTCCCTCCCCACGGAGACTTCAGGACAAGCCGCTGCATTTGCGAGGGCTCCCCAGCCACTGACTTGCACTCCAGAAAAGCGACAACTGGTGCAGCAGGGGACAGATGGGATGATGCATCCACATGCTGGAGCCATTAGCAGTGCCAGACCTGACCTGTAACCTCTGGCAACTCATTTCATCCTCCTCATGCCTCGAATCGCTATATCAAGAGAACAATATTCCCTTTCTGCAGCCCTACACAGGCTGTATGATCACACCCTGGCTTGCTGGTTCAGAAGCTCTGGCCAAGGACGTTGATGCACGTTGACACAGAGAGCAGAGCTGGGGCTTTTGGCCGAGGCAGCAGGCACGCCGTGGTGGTAAGGAACATCATTAGTAACAAGATTTGCCTTAACACTGGCAAGTGCCTGGTGCTTTCCCCCGGCATTTTAGTGGCTTGTTAAACTCCTCGCAGCTTTGAGGGCCGCCA